GCTAGCTACAGATCTGAAGATAAATTTGTAAGACATTCAAATTAATCACCAAATTATCAAAACTTTATGCAGCATTGCTCATAATGCTTGAATTTGCTATGTAATTATTAACAAAATTACTTTTAGATATATCTAGCTAATTTTGTATCTATAAGTTAAATTTTTACATACTTTCCATGTACAAATATATCATTCTATGCACAATATACATATATGTTATACGGCCACAGACACTTATAAGTTTTAACTGACAAATGATTAAAAAGGGAAAAGTTCTAACAACTTGCAATAAGATAAAAAGACGAACAAAGAAAATAAAATTGTACAAAAGTTAGCATGAATATTTAGTAGCTCTTGTCGATGCATAAAATCAAATATAATTTATCTTTTGTCTCGAATAACTACATTCTAGTAAAAAGCTAAATAGACCGTTCAAACTTACAAGCGGATGTCTGCGAGAGGAAAAAAAAAATAAAAGATTACGATTTTAATAAAGACTGCAGATACCGTAAGAGACGAGCGACGACGGAAAGAGAAAAGAAGGGCAGTGCTGGGCGGACCGTGAAGAAAGATAGGTAGATATTATAGTTTGACGTAGACAAGAAATTTCGCAAACTATCAAGGTTTTATCGCTTCCTCCAGTCGCGTATTCGCATGATAATTTCCACCGAGGCGAAACGTCTTCATAACGGGTGAATGGCATTTGATTACTGACGTCACTCAATTTCAGCCGACCTCGCTTCGCGTTCTCAGCGAGTAAATAAGATTTCCTAGAGGAAAACTAGCGCGCGCCTGGATATTCTTTGCGGATCCATTTCTCGCAAACAGGCAAGCGCCGTGACACCTGCACCCAATACGCATAGCCTTAACTACTAGCATTCTTCCGTTCTATCGTAAATTGCCCAATTTGCATCGTGATCTCGACGAATTGTCGCGGGAATTTACTTTAATCCATCAGATTCCGTTTAACTCTTTTCAAATTCTTCCGTTTAAAAATTCATATTTTCTATGCGATCCTTGCGCTAATCTTTACGAATACAAATTTTGTAAATTTTAGAAGAACTATAATGAGTTAGAAACTTTTTTCCCGTATTTTTTTAAGATAAAATTAATAAGTTATTTAAAAGCAATAATTTATTCTTACCTTTCATATTTAAAACAGATAATAAATAATATGAAACGTTTCCGAAATTATTACGCTTATTATTATATATCACATTTCTGTGTGTCCATTAAAAGAAAAAAGAAATATTAAAAATAGATTTTTTTTAATTGTGAAAAATTGATGTGATGATATAGTCATAATTTAAATGCTGCTGATGTATCAATTATATGAGTGAAAAAGTAATTTTAGAACAATTTTAAAATATAAATATCTAATATTAAATGAATGATTCAAAATTCTGTCACAGTTTTGTTCAGAAATCCTTTCTTAAAAATGAGTTTTAAAATCTTTTATAATATCTAGTTAAAATAAACATTGAATATATCATGTATTAGTATCTACAAATAAATCTTCAGGGATCAAAATGTGTTACACTTTTTAGTTACAAAATGAAATAATTTTATCTCTCTTTTTCATTGTGACTTAAAATTAAAAATCTTTCCGAAACATATTTCCATAATTTAAAGAACGTAAATGTCCTACATTTTTGTTTATTTTTAAAAACATGTACATTATATAATGTGTACATTTAAAATTTATTCGTTTCTTTAAATATGTTATTCTCAAAGTAAATATTTTCCATATCATATGACATGTACAATATGTTCTCGCAATACAAATGCATCAAGGAGTTTTGAAATAAATCTAAAACGATCCAAAACAGATCTGGAGAAACTTTGTAGACGCTGCCAGCTTCCAGATTGCGGATGTTTGAAGTAGGTTCGTGAAGGAACATCCGCAAAGCAATAATTATGAACACGATGGGAAGGGCCCATCAGAAAGGTGCTGAGATGCTTTACTGTGTGCACCTAATATAGAGCAGTACTGTGTGACGTTGAAAGGGATAAATAAGGACCGGAACGTGCGGACTATAGAAAAGCAGCATTCGGCCAATTGGAAATTTTTACTTATCGGTCGCTTAACGAAGGGTGAATGGAAAAAGGATGGCCATTCAGAGGCGGGCAAACGAAAGAATAAATTGAATTAAATTAAACGGAGCCCTTCTTTCCGTGGCTTTTCCCGAGGCGAACGACGTCATCGATGAAGCGATACCGCAATGCAAATTCTCGATCTTATTTAGAAATTTTTCATTTAATCTGAAATGTAATCTGTGTTTTCGTCGTAAATACAGCGTATCTTCCATCAACTTTCCAAATTTCTCTCCTTTCTTTTGAAAGAAAATTCACTTTAGATACATTGAATAAATTGTAATT